CCTGGCTGCAGCCCAGCCAACCCTGGCTGTTGCAGCCATCTGAGGAGTGAACCAGAAAAATCTCTCTCTCCCTCTCTCTGTAACTCTGACTTTAAAATAAATAAACCAATCTTTTAAAAAAAAAGGCCTGTCATATGCAAACATTATTCTCCTAGCAGCATTAAATCCTCTTCGAGGAAAGGTTTCTGGGCACCAGTGTCTCCCTAGAGGAGAAGTGGCTTAGCTAGTGGTGAAGACGGGGGTGGGGCTTGGAAAGCAGAGGGGCAGGAAGTTGCCACAGGCTGCCCCAGGTACTGGCTCAGCCCTCAGACTCAGCCTCTCTGATGACAGGCCTGGCCACGCTTCTAGGGTGACCAGTGAACAGTGCTGGAAACACTCCTCGCAGTTTCCCCTGCTCCACCGTATCTTCCACCATGACCTCCTCCTAAAGCGTGCAGTGTTGGCTCCCACTGGCTCCTCTCTGACCTCGCTGCCCACAGCCTTGTTTGATCCCACGTCTCCCCATCCCCATGGTCGGAGGACCCCTTGGAGAAACCTCATTCTTCCCCTAATCCCAGGCTCGCCCACGGGTCTGGCTTATACATGGTTCCTGGTTGAGCAACGTGCGTACACCCTGTTCCCACTGTGCGGGAGGAGACACACAACAAGGACCTGGAGAGCAGAGAGACCTGGCTGCAGAGACCCCAGGAGGACAGCAGGGCAAGCTAGCTCTCTCCTTTCACCGGCATGGCCTGTCCTGATTCTCTGGGCCACATTAGATAGATAAGGGAAAAAAAAAATAATGTTAGCTACAAAATGAACTCATCAGGAAAGGAATGCTTTTGCCCAGGGTCTTCAGAGGGCAAGATAAACAAAGAAAGTGAACCCTGCCTTGAACAGGGGACCAGAATCTCTAATCACGGGCCCTAGCAGCCCTTCTGAGAACCAACGCTTGGCGTCCCATGAAGCGAGACCCTTCCACCTGCCCTGCCTCGCTGTTCCCTCAGCCCCTGGGGTTAGGAGACTCCCGATGAGCAGCCAGCGGGGGGGCAGAGGCTGCTGGGAAACCTGAGCGCCCACGGCAGCCGTGGCCTCCCGGCGGTGGCATTTCCATCTCCAAGGAGGCAGTCGCGTCAGCGAAGGACGTGCGGCATCTTGCCCTCTCGGCGGGCAGAGGTGTCCCATGGCAACTGGAGCTGCGATCTGCATATGACAGCACATTGCAGCTATTCAAGACTTTCTTTCCCCTGCTTTCTTTGAAACAAGCTTGCCCTATATCCAAGTTCCCTGTGAGCCCCATACAATGAAAACAGCAGTTGACAGGTTCCCTGCGACTTGTGAAATCTGAGTGCATCCAAGGGGAGAAAGAGTGCTCATTACCGAAACACAAAACGAGCCTCTTTCACGGCACGGCTAACTGGCCCTTCAGTGTGCTGCAGCTGACCCCACTGCCCTCCTGGGCACAATAAGCAGAGGGAGGAGAAGGCGGGGAGGGGCTTTGACTCCTTAAGTTGCCAATTGATCATCCTCCTCGCCCCTACGGGGGCTGCTCTGCCCAAACAATTTGGGTGAGGGAGGTTACCCACCCCTCCTGGGAGATCTCAGCGCTTCTCGCTTGCTGGGACTTTCCCAGGTGAAACAAAGACAAGTTCCAGAAGCCTTAGACTCCCGCTGATGACGCAGAAAAGAATAGAAAAAGAGGAAGTGAGAGGGACCCAGAACCACAACGCCGGTCTCAGCCCTTTCTCCAATCAGACGCTAGCGTCCTTTACACACTTACGCGTTACAGAAGCCAACCCCATCAAGCCCCATCATGGCAGCCAGTGATCACCTGGCAAGTCAGTTGGGGCAGGAAGCTGCAGGGAGAAGGAAATGGCTCCATTTTTGCTGACTCTGGGCTTTATCTAATTAACCAGACTTCTGATACCCAGCAAAGCGAAAGGAGACAGAAGGGAGAGGAAGAAGGGGGCAGAAGAGGAAGAAAAGGAGGGAGAGGAAGAAAAGGAGGGAGAGGAAGAAGAAGAATTTATGAGGGGGGCCAAGAACAGTGCAAGGTTTGAAGCAAAGGGCTACAGAAAATGGCTGCTCATTCCAGAGATTGGCCAGTGAGAGTTCTAGAAGGTTCTGACTCCACGGCTTGACCGGAACAGCCCAATGAGAACAGAGCAGCACAGGGTAGCATTACATGAGAAAATACGCTGGTGTCCACAGCTCGTCTCCACCCAGTCTTTGGAAGAGCAGGCAATGATCAGGCAGGCTAGGCTGTATCCCTCTTTTCTGACTCCAGAAGGTGACTGAATCCTGTTCTACTAGTTATCCCATACAGGCTGACTTCGGGGTGGTACACAAGCACTCAACGGTTGAGCTTCCGGCCTTGGCGTCAGGATCTAAGTGGTACCACTCGCAACTCTCTGGCAAGTACTCTCTTAGACATTGATTTACTAAGTTGTCCCTTCTTGCAGGTATGTCCTCCACCTGCCAGATTCCCACTGATTCTTCAGACTCTATACCAATGTCAAATCCTTTGTCCCTGTTCCTATTTGAGCACTTTCCATATTGTATTAAGCTGATCTGCTTACTTATGTTCCTGTGTCACAACACGATAGTTTCTTTGAGTATAGGATCAACCATTTTATATATTTTGATATCATTGATAATTCACACATAGTCGCTGTTCAATAATCATCTGAAGAATTGCACTGAGTGATCATCGAGATAATTTTTTGTTTCTAATCCTGGGTTGGGTTTTTTCCATCGACAAGCCTATGGAGTCACATGACTACAGGGGTTCCGCTGGCAAGATTGCAATGTGAACTCTGCAATAGAGTAGCTCTACTTAGGGAATTCTGACCAGAGGCCAGGCCCAGTGGTGGAACCCAATTATCCGGCACTTACACTCTAGTCACAGAGACAGGGCTACTGTGGAAGCAGGCAACAATGGCGCAGGCAGAGGTGCCCTGCTTGCGGGTGCTGCAGGAGAACTGGCCAAGGGGAGATCTTTGTGGACTGGAGCCAAGGGGAGAGGCTCCGTGCACAAGGTAGAAGCTGCACTATCCCTGACAACTAGAAAATGGAATGATGATTATAAAAAGAAGGGGTATGAACATACAGGGCTTTTAGGGTGATTAAACCACTCCATAGGATAGATACTGTGAGTGGATACGTGTCATTATACATTTGTCCTAACCCACAGAACGTACACCTCCAAGGGCAAACTCTAATATAAACGGTGGCCTTTGGGTGACAGCGATGTGTCAAAGATAACGACTGTAGCAGATGCAGCTCTGTGGTGTGGGATGTTGGCGCTGGCAGAGGCAAGGGGCTGTAGGGAAACTCTGTACTTTGCTAAAGCTACTCTAAAAAATAAAATCTATTTTAAAAAAACCAAGAAGGTATGAGCCTCTATGAGATTTTAACTAAAATACGTATATTGAAGAAGTACCAAGCAAACTATATGAAGAAAGCAAAAAACTATGCGGCCTGACAGTGGCAGAGTAATTGGAAATTCAGCTGGATAAGCAAGGTGGGGCCCGATGACAAAGCAGAGCAGTGGGGAACGGGATGCTGGCGAGCACAGGAGGCCTCGAGGTCCCAGAGCTAGGAAACCATGTAGTGAAAGTAGTGTCTGTAGAAGCAGGACTTGCTGAGTGTCCAGAGAAGAGACGAGAACACGCCCCCGTCATCGAGGTCCTGGGGGCTTTCTCCCAGCAGGGCAGGGGGAAGCTATCATCCTGTGGCTGTGAGCGGAGCTGAGGGAGGCTGCCGGGGACCTCGCAATGGGGGTAGCTGCTACCGTGCCCACCAGTATGAGCTCCCTGCGGTTGGATCAAAATCACACGACGAGTGAAGCTGGCTTGACAGGGCATATGAGACAAGGGGCACGCTAGCTTGAGGGGTTGCCTAGCCTTGAATGCTTACCTGCTGCTGTCTTTAGTCTGCAAGAACAGAATACCAGACTGGGTTATGACAAAGAAAAGAAATTCATTTCTTACCCTCCTGGAGGCTGCGAATGCAAAAGATGGCACCAGCACCCGCCAGGGTTTTTGTGCTGTGACACCACGTGGCAGAGGGCATCACACGGCCAGAGAGAGCATAGAGACAGAGAAGCATAGAGAGAGAGAAGGGCGCTGAATTTATCCTTTCATCGGGAGCCAGGGGCCTGTGTTGTGGTGCAGCAGGTTAAGCCACGGTTTGTGAGGCTGCCATCCCATATCACAGTGCCAGTTAGAGTCCTGGCTGCTTCGCTTCCAACCCAGCTTCCTGCAAATGCACCTGGAAAAGCGCTGGAAGATGGCCCAAGTGCTTGGGCCCCAGTCACACATGGGGAAGACCTGAATGGAGTTCCTGATCCTTGGGCTCAGCCTGGCTCAGACCTGGCTTGCCGCAGCCATTTAGGGAGTGAACCAGCAGATGGAAGACTTTGCTCTCTCTCGCTCTCGCCCTACCTGGTCATTCCATCTTTCAAATAATATATAAATACATAAATAATAATAAAAGACAAATAATATCAGGAGCCCGTTCCTGTGCTAACTAACCCGCTCCTGACATAAGGGCCTTAATCCATCTATGAGAACAGAGCTCCTGTGACCTGCCATCTCTCCCAACTATTACAATGAGAATTGGAAGGCGCATTCAGATTGTAGCACTTGCTGCTTGCTATTGGACCTTGATGCTGTTTTCCTAATATCTAACGTAGTGATAAATGAGGTGGTTCCATGGGAAAAGGCCAGATTCACTTTGTAACACAGAGTCGGAGAGCTGGAAATAGTTTTGTTTCTGCATCTGGAAAACTAGTCAGTCATTCAGCTAATCAATTATAAACTCTAAGGACAGAGAGGCAAAACCCAGACAGACTCCCTGCCCTCACAGAGTCTGCATTCTGGTCAGAAGCACATCAGGTTGTGTGCATCGGGCCCAGAGAAGTCCTAGAACCACTTAATCTGCTGACGTCAGGGGAGAGGATGAAGGTGACAAAACCAAGGGCAAGGTGAGGAGGTGGCACCCAGAGCTCGTGCACTCACCTTATTCTGGAAGAGTGGTCTTCACATTTCTAGCATCCCAACAGGGGGTGCAAACGGGCTCACTTCCACCTGCAAGAGTGGCCTCTGATCAGTGCAACCAAACAGCCCCAGGCGGAAGACAGCCACGTGCACTCCCAGGCTGCACTGGTGGAGGGAGACACCACTGGCCAACAGCGGCACCTTTGCCGCCGTGTTTCACAAGACAACAGTGACATGGAGATGTTAAGCCCATCACGAACATACATAGGACAAGAGTCAGTCTGTCCATCGTGTAACCAAAATACTCACCATCAGGCATGAGATAGATTCCCCCCAGCAACTCGGGGGGAAGGGCCTTTATGATGCACCTGCTTTCCCAGGTTTGAGAATCTGGCTACACTGCTGCCCAGAGTCTGGGAATGATTGCAAACTGGGCCAGCTGATCCAAGTCACAGAGCGCGGGATTTCCACCCAGTTTAGGAGAGAACTGCCTGAGGACAAAGCCTCTAGAACAATGGCTCAGTCGTCTTTACAATCAGTGAGCAGCCCGTCCCAGGAGAGTTCAAACCCCAGGGTGGTCATCTGTCTGCACACCCTTTATCAGCAGGGCTACAGGACTCCTCTCGTGCCTAACACCTCAGATTCTGGTAACAGCAGGCCGAGGCCTGAGCGAGAGGAGGAGGAGGAATCTGAGAGCCGTCCTGACCCAGAACCCAGAGGAAAAAACTTTCAGCCACAGTCGCAGGAGTCCCATTCTGATTCCTAAAACTGAACGTCCACAGAACTCATTCCCTAGAGCGTCTCCATCTGCAAGGGCCATGCTTGCTGTTTGGAGGCATTTGAAAGATGGCAGAGGGGCTGGCGCTGTGGCAAAGTGGATGAACCATTGCCTGCAGTGCCGGCATCCCATATGGGCGCCGGTTCGAGACCCAGCTGCTCTATTTCCAACCCAGCTCTCTGCTATGGCCCGGGAAAGCAGCAGAAGATGGCCCAAGTCCTTGGGCTCCTGCACCCACGTGGGAGACTGGAAGAAGCTCCTGGCTCCTGGCTTCAGATCAGCAAAGCTCTGACCGTTGCAACCAACTGGGGAGTGAACCAGCAGATGGAAGACCCCTCTCTCTCTTTCTGCTTCTCCTTCTCTCTCCCTGTAACTCTGACTTTTAAATAAATAAATAAATAAACCTAAAAAAGAAAGAAAGACGGCAGAATGCAAAAGCCAAGGGCTGAGAGCAAGGGAGAGACTTGTCTGGAACACACGCGGTTTCTTCTGAGGGCTGCACAGAGACACAAGAGCCTGAGCCCAGCGGCCTTGACGCGCAACACCGCCTCCAGACCACGAACTGGTGACTCCAAGTCACCTTTGGCCGGAGGAAACTTGGTCCTCACGGGAGGGCCTGCGGCTGGCCTCAGACACGGCCGCGCATCCTGCCCGACTCCCGTCCACACCCTCGCAGCTGGGCCCTGTGCTCGCAGCTGACTTCAAAGAAGCTGCTTCCCTTGGATCCACATCAAGGCCTGGGATGAGAAAAGGGTTCTCTGACCTCCTCGTGGCGAGGGACGGGGCCACCTCTCTAGGGGGTGTGTGTGGGCCGAGTTTTCCTGCACCGCGGGTAGACTCTCTGGAAACAATGGTCGGAAATCGAGTTGCTCACCTACAACCAGAGGCTGGAACGTGGCCCAGTGCAGGGAGCGGCTGTGTTCACCCCTGGGAACCTGGTGGCCCGCGGTGAGAGTGCTGCCTAGGGCGGGCCAGCCCTGACCAGCCTCCAACATGGCTGCCCTGAGCTTCCCCCGCTCCATCAGGCCACCGGCTCCGATGGGCACACCCTCTGCCCACCCCACTCTCCCAGTGAGCAGGGTCCAACCTGGACACCAAAACCTATCCTCTGACTCATGTGCTGCCTTGGTCCCAAGTTCTTCCATGCTGCTTGATCACTGGGACCATGGCAGGCCCAAAGCCCAGCCCTGTCTGGGGTTCTTGTGATGGCGACAGCAGAATGCTGAGGCTGCGCGGTGCTGTCATGGGGAACTGACACACTGTGTGGTTTTAAGGGGCTGGGGGTCTCGTGCAAGCCAAGCTCTGGCTTGGGCCTGCACCCAGCACTCAGTATCCCAGGCCTGCCCGGCACTGGGCATAGTGTCTGTCCCTGGCACAGACACCACGGCAAGGCTCACGGGGGCCCCCGTCCAGGCCTCTGCGGTGCAGCCCCTCTTGACAGCAGCCCGGTAGGGCCAGCACCTGCAGGCTACAAGGGAGACAGCGGTCATGGACAAAGGGAAAAAATGAGGAGCAGGGAGATTGGCGCCCGAGGGATACTGGCGGCTGCAGGCTTCTCTCCGAGGTTTAAAGAATCCAATAAAGAACAATCGGGCACCAAACTGGTTAGGGTCCCGCCTTCCAAAAAAGACGCAGACCGCCCCCTTCTTGTCCGCAACCCCAGGCCGGGCAAGTGCCACTAGTGAGCCCAGCCTCTCCCCAGCGCACGTGGGGTGCACGGGGCTGGAGCCCGCTGCTCCGACGCAGCCAGCTGTTCCGGAGCAGGTTTGGGAGAGGGATCTTTGGCATCTCATGAAAAGGGTGTGTATGTGGGGGCGTGCCCGAGAGTTCTCTCTCAGGGCCAGTATTATTTTTAATTGCCGCGATTCAGCCTGGGACCGTTACTCAAGGCTATAGAGCTCGGGTTTGCCAGGATCGCAAACCAACTTCAAGAGGAGGCTGGAAAGAAAAAAAAAAAAAAAAAACACGTTCCAAGGACCGTTCATTACCGGGCTGTCATTTCTTCTGGAAAATCAGGTCACTCCTCGGCGTTTACACAGCCCGCTCCCGCCACCTCTCCCTCTTCCGTCCCCGTTTAGAAAGAGAGCAGTGAATCCGAGCAGCCGGGCAATTGGGGTTTCTGTCCCCCCCCACCCCGAAGCATGACCGATGGCCCATTTTTCAAGCCAAGTCTCACCCCTCTCAGGCAGCTGTCAGGAAACCACAGAAGGTGCTGGAAGGAGCACAAGAAATGGCTGGTTCTAATCTGGAGAAAAAAATGAATTAACAAGGCAGCTACTTATGGAAGAATGTTGTTTTTTTTTTTTTTTTCCTTCAGCCCCAGCCTGCAGATTTTCACAACATGCATACTCTGTTACCGTGTCACTTCCCTGTTTTCTTTGGGTAAATAACTGGGCACTGGCCTTGGGGGTGGGGAGGAGAAAGGAAAAACAGCTGGGGGTAGCGCTGAGGAGGAGGAACGGGCGTGCACGGAGGGTCAGAGGAGCCCCCTGCCCACCCGCCTGGCCCCGCTGCATGGGGCCTGCAGGAGGAGACAGGGCTCACCTCGGCCTGGGGGCTGGCAGCCTCGGGGCTGGAGGAAATAAAGAACTCTTCTCCTCCGCCAAGGCCAAGGTGCAGCCCTCTCAGAACCCAGCAGAGCCAACAAGGCGTGCCGAAGCCTCCCGCCAGCCTCCCTCAGCCCTCCCACGGCCTCGGGGGCAGCCCCGCCGTGACCTCCGGCGGGATGGGCAGGCGGGATCCAGGTGCGGGCTCAGGGTTCCGTCTGGAAAACTCCCAGGGGCTTCTGAGCCACGCTCTTCCTGCACTGTGTCCCTCCTGGCCTTGTGATGTGTGTGCCACGCACTGGACCAGCGTTAAACACTGGTTTCGTTAATAGGATATCATTTAGATAGGCAGTGTTTTTGAGGACGTGGGGGAAGGCGCCTCTGTGGCGAACGGCTGGTGAAGGGGACAAGCCGGGTCTCTTCTCCATAAAGTGATCATACACTCCCGTGTGCTCAGGTACTGGTGGCTGGGCGCTAGAACAAACAGTGAACAACAACACTGCAGAGTGCGGAAGAGAGGCAAGCACACAACACGCCCACGGGAAACCGAGGCAGAGTGCTGGGCGGTGGAGATGGGCACGGACTTGGCAAGTGCAGGGTTGACTGGGTGCTGCCTGTGCCTCTGCCCGTGAGCACTTCCTTTCCCCATCTGCCCCGGAGCCTTTGATTCCAACCTTGAACTCCCTCTCTCACCTTGTAGATCACACAGCCTTCATCAGGCAGGGGTTTGGAATTCAAAACCGGGGTTTTCAGTTCCAAAGGTCTGGCCCCCATCTGTTGAGTGGTTCTTTCCATCTCGCAGGACGGGCTGCTAAGAGCCCCGTCTCCCGGAGGAGAAGGTGGATGTTGTTGTAAGGGTGGCTTTTATGAACCGGCAGGTGCAGACTGCTACAGGCTTTAAGGGGGAGAAAAGGGAAAAGCCCAATGCTTTCTGGAAGCAGGGAGACGGGGACATTTATGGAGGTTCCAAACTAGTCACGTGGTCTCGTTCTGCAAAAACAGCTTCAGGGGTATACACCATGAGGCAGATGGCAGCAGCTAGGAGAACAAGGCCCCAGGAAATGCTTCAAAACATTTGTGGGAAAATGGAATTAGAAGACAAAATAGACATATTCCATTAACCTTTGTAGACCCCAGCTAACGCACATGGAGTCCGCACTGCTACCGGGGCCGTGCTAAGACCTTCTGCTAGATTACCTCATTCAACCCTCTCAACAACCTGCCAAGGCCGGCACTTGTGCCCTGCAGACAAGGAAACCAAAGTGCAGAGCGATACGGCATAGCCTGCTCAGGTTCACCCAGGGATGGAAACTCGGCGAGGAGATTCCAACACCACCGAGCGGTACTGCCTCTGCGGAGAAAGCGAAAGGTGCTCCCTGCCCAGAGTCACAGGACCGACGCTGGATGACCCGGCCCAGACCCGAGCCGGCTGCTAGCACTGGAGTGCACTGCAACACCCACAAGGGAAGTCAGACACCCTGCCAGTGTGCACCCTGGAAGGCAGCCAGCAATGACCCAAGTCCTTGGGACCTTGACGGCCATGGGGGAGAACTGGATGTAGTTCCAGGTTTGGGCTTTTTGGCCTGGCCCAGCTGTAGCTATTAAAATCATTTGGGGGAATGAACCAGCAGACGGAAGATTCTCTCTCTCTTCCCTTCTTCTCCCCCCCCCTCTTTCTCTGCTTTTCAAATAAATAGATAAAAATTATTAGTTACAAAAGAAAAACCATTTATGACCTCATTGGAAGGGAAAATAGTGCTATTATTGTGACCACCTACAATATCCAGGCAGGCTCAGCCGGAGAGACTCAAATGAACAGCTGGATCATTCACTGGGAACATCGCACAAGAGTGGGATAGAGGAGAGAAGGCTGGAGTGGAGGGAGCCTCTTCTGGGTGCAGGGAGGTGAGACTTCTACTTCTAGAACTGTCTGTACCCTTGCCCACTTGGGCAAGCGTCCCTTCAGCTCTGGGTCTTCCTCGCTGGTTGAAAAGCCTTCACCGTGCTAAAAACTAGACTGTTTTTTGTTTGTTTGTTTGTTTTTTGACAGGCAGAGTAGATAGTGAGAGAGAGAGACAGAGAGAAAGGTCTTCCTTTGCCGTTGGTTCACCCTCCAATGGCCGCCACGGCTGGCACGCTGCAGCCGGCGCACTGCGCTGATCTGAAGCCAGGAGCCAGGTGCTTCTCCTGGTCTCCCATGGGGTGCAGGGCCCAAGCACTTGGGCCATCCTCCACTGCACTCCCTGGCCACAGCAGAGAGCTGGCCTGGAAGAGGGGCAACCGGGACAGAATCCAGCACCCCGACTGGGACTAGAACCCGGTGTGCCGACGCCGCAAGGCGCCGGCTAAACCAGACTGTTTGCTTTGTGCATGTATGGCCCTGATCAGAACAAAGCAGGCAGTGAGGTGAAATGGGAATGAAACAGTGGATTATTTATTTATTTATTTGAGAGGCAGAGTTACAGACAGAGAGGTTTTCCCATCTGCTGATTCACTCCCCAGATGGCCACAACAGCCAGAGCTGAGCTGATCTGAAGCCAGGAGCCAGGAGCTTCTTCCAGGTCTCCCACGTGGGTGCAGGGGCCCAAGGACTTAGGCCATCTTCTGCTGCTTTCCCAGGCCATAGCAGAGAGCTGGATTGGAAGTGGAGCAGCTGGGACTCAAACCGGTGCCCATACGGGATACCGACACTGCAGGTGGTGGCTTTACTTGCTATGCCACAGCATCAGCCTTGAAACAGTGTTTTTTTTTTGAAAGATGCATTTTCCAAAGAGTTTTTCTTACTGAACTGAACATGTCCCCACATTAAGAATCCATTCCTCTCTGGCACCATAAAAACACAATTCACACTCAGCGCACGTACAGCCTTCATAAGCGCACACAGAGAACTACTGAGACTGTGAACCCCATGCGGACAAGCCGCTCTCTGACTCTCATGGGAGACCAGGGCAAGGAGAACAGCGTGGCCAGCAGAGCTGCTGCCGCCACACGGGGAATACCTTGGGCAGATGCACGGGGCCTCTGCCCACCCCCCAAGTGCCAGTCTTCTCCCGAGGTCCAGTTCCATACAGGTGCTTGTGTCTGTGACAAAGACAGACCCTTGCCACCAACTGTGTAGGGGAGAAACCACAGAAAAAGGTGTATAAGCAGCTCTGTGGTCTTCTTCCTGCGATTAATAAAAGCAGGGCTTCACTGAGAATTGCACCTGTGATTTGTATTTATGTAGCATCACATATATTTTATAAGTGTCATATTATATGACTACATATGTCATAATGTGACACTATAAAAACATAGGAGTGGGTGTTTGGCCTAGCAATTAAGATGTTGGTTAAGACGCCTGCATTCCACATCAGAGTAGCTGGGTTCATAAACGGCTCCGCCCTCTGATTCCAGCTTCCTGCTAATGCAAACTCTGCAAGGCAGCACTGAGGGCTCAAGTAGCTGGATTCCGGCCATCCGTGTGGGAGACCAGGATGGAGTTCCTGGCTCCTAGCTGTGGTCTGGTCCAGTCTTGGCTATTGCGGGCATTTGGGGAGCACACCAGCTGAGGGAGCTTTCTCTCTTCTCTGAGCTTCAAATTTTTTTTTAAAAAAAGTCTAAAATACAAAGACAGGTATTTGTATAGATATATGCATAAACATTATAAATATCTCCTATAGGTGCCAGGGCACCTCAAAATGTTTGTGGAAGAGGTCGGCCTCGTGGTGCAGTGGGTTAAGTGACGGCTTGTGACGCGAGCATCCCGTATCAGAGTGCCACTTTGAGACCTGGGTGCTTTGCTTCTGCTGAAGCTCCCTGCTGAGGGGCCTGGGAAGGCAGCGGAAGATGGTCCCTGCCACGCACGTGGGAGACCCGGATGGAGCTCTGGGCTCCTAGTGCTGACCTGGACTAGCCGTAGCCCCAGTCATTGTAGCCATCTGTTGAGTTAACCCATGGATGGATTATCTGTGTCTTCTTCTCATTCTGCTTGTCAAATAAATAAAATAAATCACTAGGGAAAAAGAGTTCATGGAAAATGGAATTAACTTATTTGGGGTGCAAAAATTCTTCAAAATCCATGCAGAATGTCTTTCATATCATACATTATTCTTTTTAAAGACCCTCTTTCATATGCATAGATGACAAGATTTTTTCCATCAAAATAAATTTATCCTCTAATCTCATTTTCCATGAACTTTCTGAAGTACCCTTGTATATCTACATATAAATGTATAGGTACTCATGTGTATTCGTGTGTGTACATGTGACACTATCTACATATAAACCACAGGAAGCTATCACACACACACAGAGTAACTGCATGTAACTGTGTGTAGCTTATATGTTCTTCATGAGGCCATGGACAAGAAACATTTGACTCCTATGGTGGACTGAACTGTGCCCTCCCAATAAATATGCAGAAGTCCTAACTCCTACTAACTGGGCCTATGAGCTTATTTTTGAAAGAGGGTCTTTGCAGATACCATTAAGAGCTAAGCTAAGATCAGGTCACACTGGAGCAGGTGGGTCCTTCCAGAAGAGGAGAGAGACCCAGGGCAGACATCCCAGGGAGAGCATCACAAGAAGACACAGATGCCAGGGGAGGAAGCAGGTAGAGGCCGAGGGGGAGCTTGGAGCCATGCACCCACAAACCGAGGACTGCAGGTGACCGTCAGAGCCAGCAAGAGGGTTGGATGGCCCCTTCCTGGAGCCCTGAGTGGGCGCGGTCCTGCTGCCACCTTGGTTTCAGACTTCGGGCCCGCAGAACCTCTGCGGTTGGAAGCCACCCAGTCCAGGCCCCATCTGCGGTTCTTCACTAGGGTAGCCGTGGGACTGAACAGAGCACACAGCAGGGGACAACGCAGCAAAGCCGCCACGTCGCTCACTCCAGCTTGCATCCACTGAGCCCCTAGTTCTGGGCCCTCTCTGGTTCACTCGCGCACTCTCTCTCTCTGAAACCAATGCTTGAAAGGCTATGAAGGCCACCCCCACACCCCCAGGACTCTCAGCTCCTGCCTGGGGTCGGGGACAGCCAGCCTCCAGACCCAGGCTTGAATGGGTCCTGGAGAGGACTTCACAGCCTCCCTCTTGCTGCCCACGCCCCCAGCAGCAACACAAACAGCTTTGAGCTGTCAGAGGGTGGCGTGAATTTATGGTCCGCGTGGCCCCAGATCAGAGATACTGCTGTTCAAGAGCTCTCCTCTTTTTGCTTTAATGGTACACAGGAATTCTCCCCCAGCCCCCTCAAAACGCTCACACATCTTTTTAAAATTTGCACCTTTTTTTTTTTCAGGCTGGTTT